TCTAATGTCTAACCTTATGCTGAAGTAGATGTATTCAACAACAAAGATATTATACAAGAACAAATGTGAAACACATTCCTTTTGTAAATGAGGTTCTATGCTTCTTCCTTTAAAGAAGTTGATTTCAAATACAGAGCCTCAAGTTTCCTCTCAGTTCCAATTACTATAGTGTCAGCCACATTCTACCTAACTGTTTTATTTGAGGTTGTGGCCTCATTGGTGGGTATAACTCAGGTACAGTGGTTTAAGTCTTCCGACAAGTTGGAATAAAGAGATAAAATTCAAAGTCAGCACACATTAGAAAATTGAGGAAAATACCTATAGTCTTTATTAAATGTAGTATGTTTTCTCTACATAAAATACGATTTACTGAAGAAAATAATTTTAAATCCCTTAAAAGTCTTAATTTTAAAATTATTCTTGCAAGTGGGGCTGAAAAGATGGCTCAGCAGTTAAGAGCACTGACTGTTCTTGTAGAAGACCTAAATTCGAATCCCAGCAACTACATGACCACTAAAAACTGTCTGTAATTCCACTTCCGGGGGATCCGACAGCCTCTTCTGTCTTCCTCAGGCACTGCACGACATGGGTGCACTTACCTACATGCAGGCAATACACACATATACATAAAATAAAAATAATAAATAAAATATAAAAAAATATTCTTACGAGTACAAAAGCTTTGAAAGAACTCCATAATTTTACTAACAAAATTAATATATGTTGTCACTACTCACATAACTAAAATTCCCTGAGTAATTTCAGAGTAAAATTAAAAGTTTATTAAAGCATGTAAGTAACAATAATGTGTTCATTTGAAGCTAATGAATACATATTAGGAAACTTTTGTTAGAACTAAAACAATTATTTAGTATTTAGAACAAAAATGATTTTTTTAATCATTAGTAGTTGGAATTGACAGTATAAAATGACAAAAACAGCAATACAAAGGTGGCCAAATATGAGTTATTTTGATTTATTTTTAATCTCTTTAACAGAAAAAAAATAGACTTTTTTTTGCCCCCATCAAATCTCATTCCACCTGACCTTAGCAGTTTGCTATATAGTGAACCATACACTTTGCCCGAAAAGGATCATGCTCAGTAGTTTTGATTTGTTTATTTCTTGTTTGGAGAGCACACACTCCTTTTACTCCATGATATTTACAGCTGTCAAGGTCTGATTTCTCATCTTTGTTCAAGTTGTTCAAATAAAAGCTTAGATTCTGTGTAGTGTTCTGGAAAGTATGCTGGAAAAGGAATAAAACCTAATTTCCAATACTCATCATCAAAAAAAAAAAAAAGCAATGCTTAGCACATGTTCAAGCCCTCTGGACCTCAGTTTCTAGACCTCCCAAATGAGCATTAAGACTGGGTGAATTGTAATAATTTCCCCAGTTTTTCAAAAACTGATGTTTTGTGATGTAGTTTCTACTGTTTTTGTTTGTTTGTTAAAATATCTGATTTGCTTCTGTTTAAAATTTTCTGTTTATGTATTTAGATAATTTTTATTTGCATAACTGTTTGGTCTGCATGTATGTAAATGCACCCCACTTATTCAATACCTGCTGAGGCCAGAAGAGGGGGTTGTATCTCCTGGAACTGGAGATAAGGATGGTTGTAAGCTGTGGTGTGGATGCTGGGAACTCAATCGGGTCCTCTTCATGAGTAGCCAGTGTCCTTAAACACTGAAGCATCTCCCAGGCCCTGATTTTTTTTCTTTATTGCCACGTAGCAACTAATATTCTTCCTAGAGTGATGACAGGACATTTATTTCTGGGAGTGCAGAAGAGCCAGCCTATAAATACACGAAAATACATAATATATAGTTGCTAATTTGGTGATGACAATGATAACCAAGCAAATATGATGTCTTGAAACAAGCGAATGAGAGAGAGAGAGAGAGAGAGAGAGAGAGAGAGAGAGAGAGAGATTCCCTTAGGCTATGAAGAGTTTGACACGAGCCAAAATGAAATTCAGAATTTGCCAGGAGAAAGTTTGGGGTCCTTAAAAACCAAAGTCCTGTTTGGTATCCATATGTTGGCTGTCAAAGTCTGAGGGTTTAAAGGGATGTTGGAGAGAGATATAACAAAGGAAGATTCAAATGCCATGATTGTAGTAAGATGGGCACATGGAATAAAAAGACCTTTTTAAAAGTCTTAAAAATATGACTGAAAAAATAAAATACCATTTCCTGGTGTTTTCTTACTCCGTCTCCCAAATATGACATCATTTCTGTGGCAACTGAAATAGCAAACTGTGCGAAAACAACATCGCCTTATCACCTAAAACTATTCTCGTTCCTCCTGTGGGAACAGACATCATTTTGCCCTGCTACTTTAAGAGAAAAGGCATAAAGAAAGTCAAATAGTGTGTCCAATTTGTCTTTGCCCCTACCTGTAACACTCTAAACAATTAGTTGAATAATGCAAAAACGTAATGTATTTTTTGCAGAATTATGTGTGCTCCTTTTTAGTCCCTCTGGTAAATGTTCACTTGGACAAAACATAGATAAGGATACAAAACTGGGGATTTGTAGCCAGTCTCTCTTTACAGCTAACCCTTAAGAAGAAATGTAGAATCAGTTTAAAAGACTGTAAGAAGAGCAAAATATAATCACACATCAAATTTCCATTGAAATCAATAACCAAACAAGCATTCTAAATTCAACTTTTAGGCTCAGGACATAACAAAAATTATAGTGATGTGATGTAATGCACATGTGAATTAGCTTAGCTATTATAAGATGCATATAATTACCAAAACAGAACTTTGAGATCGTAAGTACATACAATTTTTATTTGTCAATTAAAATAAGTTTTTAAAAGAAGAATAACGATATATTCCTCTTTCTGTCAAACCTATATCTCCCACAAACCTGGCTCCCTTTTGCACAATGTCCTTTCATTTTGTTAAATTTGCCAATCAAAGGCAAATTTAGTTAAGGAAAGCATCACAGACCTAAGCAAACTGGAAATGAAAAGTGATATCAAACAAAGAACCTTAGATTTGTGTTAACAATAGTAACTAATAGTGCTTGAGGTACAGGCGATCAAGGCCAGAGCATCCATGCTTGTTCTGTTTTCAATATAAAGTTCCTAAGGACTTAAGTCTCTCAACAGGAAATTTAAGTTTTATGATTATAAAAGTGTAATCATGGCAAAATATTGCCTTAGTTATTTTAAGTTTTCATTAGCTATAAAAATTAGTGCAAAAATGAAACAATTTTATCTACTGCATTGTAATACTTTGTGAAGAATTTCAAGTAAACCTTTTACTTTCTAAATGAGGATAGATAAGAGGTCTAATTTTCTCATAGCTCCCAGGCTCAAAACAGAAGCAAGTTACCCCACAATTCAAACTTTTCATTTTTTTAAATAATTGCTATTAGCATATGTATCTATATATGGATGACTATAAACTCGGAAGCAAAAGTCATTTTATAACTTTCAAGCCCTTTGGCATGCTTCCTGGAAGTCTCAGTAATGACTATAGTTACTCTAAATTGCCCTCAACACACTTACATGAATGCTACATTCAGCTGAATTATTTCCTGGATTCCCTCTAATTAATCTGATAGCAGCTGTTTTAAAGCCTGTGCTGATTAACAGTTGCAAGACAACTAAATGCCTAGTACAAGAAAAGCTATCTGAAGCTTACGTATGTTCATCCACATAATTTTATCTTTTAGACGTCAACATTTCAAAGAGGATTTTCTTTTTATAGGAAACTATATTTGTTTATATAATTCAAATGGTTTCATCCTGACATATTGAAATATAATTTCCATATCTTTAATAAAGACCCTAATAAATATTGTGGAAAAATCAACATTCAAAACAGTGTAAAGGCATATTTTAAAGACTTTAAAAAATAAAATTTTTATTACAATATGTATTTGTCCTGGTCTCTTTCTCCTGATTCAAAAACATAACCAAAATTAAGAATGCAAATGCTATAGTAAATATGAGATGTGTTTGAGGTAAAGAGTCAACAGGCAAGTACAGAATATCAAGCCAAACACAAGTATTAAAATTATATTCCTGAGGCTGTAGAGATGGCTCATCAGATAAGAGCACTGACTGCTCTTGCAGAACACCTGGGTTCGATTCACAGCACCTATGTGGTGGGAACAAACCGTCCTTAACTCCAGTTTCAGGGGAATCTGAAGCCTTCTTCTGATCTCCGTGGCATTTCATGATATGGGTGCATTCACATACATGCAGGCAACACACTCATACACATAAAATAAAAATAATAAATAAAAATTTTAAAATATAAAATAAAATCAAATAATATTCCTTTATACCAACAAAAATGTAATTTGATGTTCTTCAACCTACATATCCAATTCATAATCCATACTTAAATCTACTTTCCTAGAAATAAGAAAATGTTTAGGTTACAATTTACTTGTTATAAAATTAAGGATTTAATTCTTTTGTGAAAACTTTAGAAAGCATATGGCTGCCTAAATATAAGACAGGTCTCATAGTCTGACACACTGTGCCCTCATACCATGGTAGCTTTGTACCAATCATACTTTTTCCCACATGGTGATAAATTCCCATTTTTCAGCATGCTCAGTACATATCAATTTTTCTGAATATTTTCTTCATTCATCCTAGAATGTCAACAGAAATTCCTCAAAAAGAAGCTAAAGTTACTTTTCTGGAAACTCTCGATATTCATAAACTCCCATGCCTCTCTCCAGGAAGTATAAGACACCAATATGAGGTTTGTGTTTTCACCTCATGCTCTGTTAAAGAGTTTATGCTCTGAGTCGTCTTCATAATAGTACCTAAATTCCCCTTACAAAATGCTCATTGAAAGAACAATTATAATATATTTCATTCAATAAGTAAAAGATAGAAGTGAGCAGACACAATATGAATGAATTTTTTAAACTATCTAATTTAGCAGAAGAAGGCAAGCATAGAAGATTATATACCATGTATTTCCATTTATATGCCATTGTAAGACAGTCCAAACTAAAAAAGAATCTCCCTTCTGCAGCATATTTACTATAGTTGGAACCATACAGAGATTGGCATGACCCTTGTGCAAGGATGACAGGCAAATTCCTGAAGTGTTCCATATTTTTCTTAGTAAGCTAGGACTAGGAAAAAAAAAACATCATAATCTAGATTAAGATATCTATTATTGATAATTAAAAGCACCCATAGAATCTAACAGCATAGGCATTCTGAGGGAGTTATAAACTAGCCACAGGCATGCTGTTATTTAGCAATGTCCTGGTATCACTAGCCCCTATGATAAGGCAAAAGAAAGAGACGAGGATAAATTACAATTCTCACTGTAATTCATAAACTGCTTCCCTTTGAAATCTGAGTCAACTGGGGGCCTAGCACGGCATTCTCCGAGTTGCTGAGGTACTACACACCTTCCTGTGAAAATTGATTCTTCCCAAATCAGTCCATAAAAATCAATGTAATTACAGCCGGATTGGATACTTTTTGGAATTCAGGAGGTCCTGGAGTTTGCTTGCAAGAGTACAGGCATGAGAACACCAGGTGGTTCTGAAAAGCAATGGCTGTGTGTGGCTTGTGGTGCTGAGGTGGGCAAAAGCCACTTGTCCTAAGAGACTTCACAGAGGAGTGAGACTCTCCTGCCACCATGAATTCGGTCACTGTGACTGATAGAGTCAGACAGACTGATGGGGAAACACACAAAGTTCAGACAGACCTACATATGATAGAAAAAGGAGTCTTTGTGGGGATATTGATTATTTAATTAATAGTACTTTGAGACAACCAGCTATCCTTAGAGCTCTACCTCACTTTCCACAGAAACCTAAGTCCAGAGGGAAAAAAAGCCAAATTAAATGACAAAATTATTCAAGAAAATGTATTTTTTATACCTCTGATATGGAAAAGTCTTTTGTAAACATAGCATGAAACCTAAAGGACATAATAAAAATAAATTAAAGTGTGCTTTTGGAAATATCAAGGTTAAACAGAGATGTGATGGGGAGAAAATATTTGCAGTGAGTACAGTCAGTTCAGGTGAAAGCTTGCTTTAGATCCTCAGAGAACATCGCTAGGGTCTGTCAAGCCATCACCTGAAGATTCCATAGTAAAGGGCTGAAATCTTGCAGGTCCTCCAGAGTCCATGCAGCCAATATCAGGCTGGTAGAATCCCGTTCATGCCATGGTGGGAGAAATAAGATGATCAATGTGAAGTGCTTAGCACAAAGCCTGGGCCATAGCAGAGTTCCCAAGTGTGAGCTGTAACCGGAGCAGTTAAGGATGTAAAGCAACTCTATTACAGCAGGTGTCATTTCCACATATATGGTTTGTAATCCAATGGTAGGGGAGAATCAGCGAATCCCTAGAAAATGAGCAGATTAAAGAATATTCTTTGGAGGCCTGAAAAACACTAATAGAGGCCAGTAGTAAACAGAACAGAAAGACTAAATGTGTTCGAACGCTTGTCTGGCATGATCAGGACCCTGCATTTGATCTCTAGCAACGCAAAAATAAATGGATGAGTGAATGAACAAATGAATGAATGAATGAATGAATACATACATACATACATAAACAAAAATAAATACATCTGAACATAATTTACTTTTCATGTTATAACAGGAGGGTGGACAGGCATGAGGTACCATGTGATAGAAATTTAATTGTTTGACCGGGATGTGAGTCAGACCAATATGTCCACGTATAAAAATAAAATACATTATTAATCACTTAATCTCTACATTTGATAAGAATAAAGTTCTCATTATGATAAACTATAATTTAAAGAGGTCGTTGCACTAAACCATTCCCATATTTTCCATTTGTTTACATAAATGCATCATTAAAGTTTAAAAAATATTTCATTTCACAAAGCTCAAGTTCCTTCTGTCATGTAAATGTCACCAATATGCTTCACACCTGGACAAATTTTTCTTCCCTTAATTCTCCATTTGAAAAAGGCAGAATTGCATTTATGTCTACCTATCCTCTATTACTTAGGCTGTTGGCTAAGTGAACACACATGAACCTTAAAGAACAGAGTTAAATCTGGAGATTTTATGAAGACTTGTGGGCACTGTGAAGAAACTCAATTAAATCATAATATACAACAGTAGCTCGTAATTATATTAAATTGGTATTGATCTAGAGGCATACACAGTATATTTCCTTGAACATTAATATACAATTATAAAATTTTAAATTAATTTTAGTTTTCTAAAATATAATTAGAAAAAATCTGAATCCTGTTGTTTGTTTTCCAAATAAAGGTAACCTACTGCAGTTTATTGTCATAAAACTCCACACTTTTCAAAATATTTAGTAATTTAGACTCAATGTTCTTAATGTTCTGATAAACTTGGAAGAATTTTTCATATAATCTATTTCTAGTTTATGTTTGCTCAATAACAGATGCTTAATTTGGGGAGAAGTAATTTTCATGACCAAATGAATAATTGTCTTAAAAAGATTCTGAAAGAACACTTGGAGGAACTATATATTTTTATGTTAAAAAATGTCCAGTAGAAGAAAATCAGCAGATTAAGTCCTTCAGTAACTAAGTCCTAAATTTTCAACAGGAGTTCAA